TAAAAAAAGTATCAAAATTATATTAATCATATCATTTTAAACGTTAATTAAATTCTGCCACGTAAGAATCTCAGAAAATCCTGTCGATTACTCTACATTTTTCATTTTCTCATTTGATTGAGTCTCACATTCTCAATACAATTTCTGTGTAAACAACTATGACAATTTTATGTATAATTACCTTTAGGTTAAAATTTAGATCGAATCAACTGTTATATAAAATATATTGTAAAAAAAAATAATAGAAAAATTTTGCCAAACACTATGAGAACAAAAAATCGTACATGAGTAGCAGGGTGTTCAAGTTTCTCAGTTACTTATACAAGATAATAACAAACCGATCTCCATATTTTATATGAAATTCTCAAGAAAAAGGTACTAGAAAATATTAAAATATACAGGTGTTACCGATCAGTCGCAATTACTATTTCGGTTTGTGTTTGGCCTTCAAGATAAATTCCGAAATAAGAAATGTTGTTTAAACAGTTTAGAGTATTACCCTTTATGACTTCTGTCACTGACACATATACTTCACTGATACACAATTTGTACGTATATTATTCGCTATCATTGGGTTTCCTCGTTTTCTCAATATTTATAACCGAGTCACGACGACACGTCAATTCCAATATATTGACTGTTATTGGTTTTCTGCTTGGCTATCGTTTCGCACAAGATATGTCGAAGAAGACGCTGTTTATTTATTTATTTTTTTTTTTTTATTGTTTTTCAGACGAATAAAATAACGTGTACACAAGTATTTATACAAGAGTCCCCGGGCCCGAGCACCCAACCATAGCTGTTATTTCGTTCGTTTTTCGAATTCCGATCCCAACAAAGGCCACGGTGAAACATCCGTTGTCGTCGTCGTCAACGCTCATGCCTGGCCATCCCTCGTCCCTATACTACTATACTTTGCCGCGTATAAATAAACGATTACCGAAATAACAGGCCGTTACACGTTTTGTATTTAAATTCGATTCCGTCGATTATTCCTTGTTGCTCTCTCTTCCTTTTGCACTCTATTTTTTTTTTTTTTTTTAACTCCTAAAGGGGCTGGTACACGAGCACATTCCATTAAGAGCGGTCGTCGTCGCATCCTCGACGGCAACGGTCGTGGGCCGAACAACCATGTCCTCATCGTGCTTTTCAACTCAACGGTCATTTTAATAAAAAAAATAAAAACACACCAAATATACAGTATATAATATAGTACGTGCACACGAATAGAAATCCTTGGTCTTACATGGCGATGGTGCAAAGAGAATCCAATTAAGTAAGGCGAATATTAATAAATATCTGCGATCGGCGACGGAACCAAATACGATAAAATACAGATCGTCGAATTTGACTGTGACGAGGGAATAAAATAAAAATAAAATTCCATATTATTATAAGCCTGGCAAGCAGTCAAGTATTAGGAAAACGAACGGAGCAAAATTACGAACACGTGTATGTATATTTATATACTCATATATATAAATTTACCGAAAACTTCTTTATTGATAAGACGCACATGGTTTAGGAAAAAATATAGATAAACGTCAAGTGGTTTCGACAAATTATTCAATATTAATTACCTATCATATGCGGTTTACGCTATGATAATAGTCGAATCATCCATAGATGTTACTAACTTAAGTATACTTTATTACATGTAATAAAGATTTATTAAACTCAGTGATTATGGAAATACTTTTAATTTGATCTGTTTATAATATTTAATATATACATATATAGAATTTATTGTTATTATAACGATGTATACTTGTTTATGTACATTTTATATGTTAACACTCAAAAATAATGTACTTATAAAATAAAGATCTTCTTTATTATAAAAGAAAAAATAAAGGTAGTAAATTTTGTACTATTACTAAGTTCATTATACACTAATATTATAATAGATATTTAAATAAATACAATTATAATGACGTAACATTACAAATTATATGTCTCATTCCAAAAATTACATTTATTTAAATAAGAACAAATAAATATAATTATGTTTTCTATACTACAATATTATTTTTTCTCGTCTCATCTTCATAAATAAAGACACTTAAAATGGGAGGTCACATAGAAGATGAACGTTATTAAATTTAATTAAATCTATAAATTACAAATATTGTTTATAATAAATGTTAACAATAAATTATTAATTAAATAACAATTAATATATTCTACAAAATTTTTATGATTTCACAACAATTGTAATAGGTACGTGTCTAGTTAAATGATGTAATATATTTTATGTTTTATATAAATTTACTTGACCTTTTAGAAAAGAAGGCTACTACTGTATATTTATTAATTTATGGCACTGGTATATATTATTAAAATAATATAAGAATTTAATAAGTATGAATAAATATACTTTAAATTAAAATTATATTGATTTTATAATTGAAGGTTGTAAGCTTAATTTGTGTTAACAATATTTATATGTATTATTAAGATATTAATTTTATTTTATTTACTGTAGGTCTTATAACTATCTCACAAAAATATATTTAAATAATATTCATAATAAATTATAATTAATACATTTTAAGTAGAATTTGTAGTTCAATTGGAATTATTATTTTATATGTCACCTCAATATTCTTAAAATAAAAATTTACAAATTAACTCTGTAACATTTTTATTTCATTGGATTAAAATTTATATTAACTTGCATAAAGTTTGATAACAATTAATCTTAATGTATATTGTATTTTAAAAAACATACAGTATGCAAAAATATTTATCTATTTAAGTTTATACTAAAAGGAATATACTAAAACAAAACTAAACAGGGCAGCTATTTCCATACGATAAACTCATGATGACATTTTTTCTAGATTTTTCATGAATCTATAGTTCAATTTTTATGTATTTATTACGCATAATCAATATAATCACTATAATTACTATATCAATTTAATCACCTATCAATATAATATAGTCAAGTATTATAATTCAAATTATTATTATTATTATTATTATTATTATTATTACACTATATTTATTTTAAAAAGTAATTTTAATTGTACATAAATATATTAAGAAATTCAAAAGTTGACAAATTCAATAGAGATTGTCGACCTCAAACATTTTGCAATTTATTCTACCCTCAAAGGATTAAAAATACCCAATTTGTAATATTGTTAGTGATGATTACCACTGACAACTTATAAAAAATATTTACAGTAATTGTGAAATAGAAAAAAAAATTTAAGCAATAAGCAAGCTGAACAAAAATTAATTATACAGTATCATGACAAATAGTGTTTTTTTTTTTTTTTTTTGGCGCGAGACAAGTAAAAATTAACGCATGGGGCACGCTTATAAATTAAATCAGACGTTTTCAATTAAATTCACGAAAGTTTGTTTTCGAAACATGTGTTTTTATGTGCAAAGGCCCCGTGGACATTGGTTTTCGAAAAGGGATCGCTCCACTACAACGGTCGGGGAATACAGGAGGTGGAGGAGAAAACGTAGAGACTGCAGAGTTAGCAGTTGGTGGCGTGGCAGTGGTGGCGAGGATGGCTCCCATAAATCAGAATACTCGTTTTCCTACCCTTTAATTTGCCCAATGTGTATATGTATACCCTATCGCAATTAATTAATGCGGTTATCGGTGGTCGAGTGCGAGCGTACAGCGGCAGAACAGTAGCAGCTTCTCGTGGAACACGGTTTCTCGCGTGAGGGATTTGTTATTTCAAACATTTTTACTATAATTTTATCTCTCTCTCTTTCTCTCTTTCACTGTATACCCAATCATCCATTACGTAACAAACTTAATAAATCGGCTCAAGTGCGCACATATAAATTTCGATCAAAATCAAACACGCTTTAAGGATTCTCTGTCGCTGTACCATCCGATAAACATTAAATATAACAGTGGTCTACACAATTTCAAAGATTATTGAATCTCAAATTATTATTATCTCATCTTCTATTCGATTTGGTCCTAATATATGTCACTATGTGTGTAAATATATTTATTTTTTTAATTATATGTGTGTGAAAGTGCATTCTGGCCAAAATAATACCAATCGTTTGCGCGTTGAACTCTCTTTGTATTACATATAGTTATAGAATCGAACACTACATAATTATAAAATATTATCAACGTGCGATATATTATACATTGATATTTTCCTTGATGAAATTAGAACTCAAAAAGTTTAAGATAATAATTTACTATGATTTACTTTTATGTTATAAACAAACATTTCAACACAAATATAAATAAGGCATAAATACTCGTATTAATTATTTTCAGAAAACTTAATACGAGTATATAAATATATATACATCGTATATAAAAATAAATAATTGACGTTAATTTAAGTATAAAAATAATCGTAAGTATTCTGACAATTATATTAACAATTAAACAATATGGTAATACACATACTTAAGTATGTATATTGTTATGTATTGTGAGCTAATATAATAGAAACATATTATATTATATATAGCTACTTTAATAATAAACTAGATCATAAATTTACTTTTAAATATAAAAACAGTATTGATATGGACTTTCCTTAAACTTTGTATACTTTGTAAAATTATATTTATTTAAACTATATTATAATATATTGATATGACACACATTCATCTTCTTATGATAAATTAAAAACGGGATTTAATTTACCATACTACGCTCACTGATTTATAACTTATTAAATCAAAGGATACGCCCAAGTTAAAAATAAAAACTACATAATATTAAATATTATGAAGTTATTACATACGAATCGGTTGTCACGTACTGTTGAGCCGACACAAAATTAACTAATTTACTGCCCTTGGTCGAACATAACAAACCAAAATGGAAGAAGAAAATAATTTTATAAATTGTGTCCCTTCCGAAGGGAAGAAGTTGCAAAAACACTTTAGAACAATATAAGCTTTTTTTCAATTTACCATGGAGACACTCTACGTGATTTAATAATAATACAAAATGACCGTTGTCGATAATAATCGTATATTATTGTATGTTTCAGTGATCGGTTTCGAGCCAGATTTCTTGTTCCCGTTGGAAAACGTGACTATTGCCCAAGGCCGTGACGCGATATTCACGTGCGTGGTCAACAATATCGGTGGTAACAGGGTGAGTGCTCCTCCCGAAGGCGACTTCACACCAGCCAGGGTCGGTATCAGTAACAATTGGTGATAAAAAAATATGAAATAATTCTTCGCACCACGGCTTCGTCTATCTTCACAGCGCTGCACAATTTTCTCACCTTTTATTTTTACACACACACACACATATATATATATATATATACATGTGTATGTGTATATATGTATTATAATCTACTTTTCACACAGACTATTATATTAACTGCACCCTGTTAGCTCTATGCACGCAGAGCATCGAAAGGCGATCATTTTACAGTGCACTTATCGTTTAGAAACACATTACAATTTGGGTTGATATGCGAATTAAATACACACTCTCACGCTCAATTAACATGTGTTAAAAATTGAACATGTTAAGTACTGTTTAAAACTATGAACGTATATTTCTGAAATTATAATTTTCTTTTACGAAATTTTTCTAGCGTCCATATATTATGATTTTTCTACTCTTCTCACTCACCTTTTTTATTTTTATTTATTTTTTATTTTTTTAATACAATCTTCGACTATTTCTTAATGTCATGCAATTAGAACTATCCTCTTTTTTTTATGATCCTTATTATTTTTCTTTTAATAATACTCGCGTGTCGTTTTTCATAACAAGTTTTGTCATACAAAACTTTTGTATCGATATTTTAAAAGCCAATTCGGTATTAATAACTGTTTTAACTATGTATGATATAACAAGACAGTTTTTCTTATAATAAATATTATTTAAAATTGAACAATTTCAAGTATTTCAATTTCACACACGTACAATTAATATAATTTATTAATACAATATTTATATCATGTACAATTAAAAATAACGATTCAAACAAAACAACTAAAAACAAGATAATTTTAAATGAATTTTAAACAATAATTCTTATATAGTTCTCGAAATATATATGTAATATTTTAATCATTTCGTATGTTGGATTCATCTTAAATTCAAAATTTCTTTAAAATATATTTAATCATCTACTTATTTTCGAGTTCAACTAGTTAAATATTTTTGATTTTTCTAAAATATATGTTTTACATGTCAGACATAGCAAAATTCCAAAGTCTAGTAAACAATAATTTAAAGATAAATTATAATAGGTAAATAACAATTTTAAAAACTATAATGATTTATATTAAATATTTTATAATTCATATATACATTTAATATTATCAGCATATCTATCAATATTTGTCTCTAAAATATATCTTGAAATAATTATAAGAATAGATGTGATTTATCATATTTTTATTGTCTTCGAAGTTTCAATAACTAAATCATAGAATTTTTGATTTTAATAAAATATTCTTTAATTATTTGTGAACGAAATTTATCGTACAGCCATCTTTAATATCGGCTAATTTTATAATAGTGATTATATTTTCAAATTCTTAGAAAGTCGTGGTTAATATTTTTTGATAACTAAAAATAGATTTCCGTGTTCATAAAAAATTAACAGAATCCATATTCGTGATTTTACTTATTTATGTTTAATTATAGTTCAAAGACAAAATTCTCTGAAAAAAATATATTAAAAATAGACATCAGTATACAATGGTTTTAATATTTAGATACATCATAGATATAGCAAATTAATCTAACCATCAACATTTAATTATATTTCCAGAAATTACGTTCAAATTTTAGTAACATAATCACTAAATGTTAAGTTTTAAAATACATGTTCGAAATTCGTTCAGAAATATTTTAACAATTATCCAACCCACGTAAAATAATCGCCATTGAATAATATTTCTTCGGTATTTTCTTTAGAATTATAAAATACTTACCTAGTTGTAGTGTAAAATAATACTTATTGTAATATAAAAACAATTAAATAAAATGTATATACATATATTCAATATAATTTAAATCATATTGACCTGATTAAATTATAATGATAAGAGCTTATAATATATAAATGTAAAATATAAAAGTTTTATTCATATTATTTAATAATTGATAATAAAAAATCCCCATTTATTATTCTATAGGCAATATAGTTAAAAATGTTGTAAACATTTTTTTTAAAAATATGGCAACTTAATGTTTATAAAATAACTTATTAACTAATATTAGTGCCACAATGATAGACATTTTGTAATTTATATTATTCCTATTAATAAATGAATATATTCTGATATTTAAGTAAATATGCATACGTATAAAAATTTATCTTAACTTAATGAACTCAATTTGAATATTCCATTCAATATTAAAAACTGATCTAAGATGCAACTATTTACATGGATAAGTACTTTTAATTAATTTTATTTTCACTACAATGAAAATCGCACATAAAATTAAAAATTGGAAAAGGAATTTGTAACATCTTAATGTTTTAATGAAAATATTCATGTGTAAATAAAAGCTAAAACATATTTCAAAATAAACGAATAAGCTCTTAAATATTACACATTTTAAATTATTGAATCTAATTTAAACTAATTTTATTTTTCGATTAGTTATTCTTATATTAAAAAAAGACAAATATTTTAATTATAAGCTAATAAATTATTCAGAAAGGTTCATATTATTGTTTACATTATGTATTTACAAATCTTAAAATTACATTTATAATGAAAAATTCTACCGTACTTTAGACCTGATTTTTCCAAAACATACTTAATTTTAACTACATTTTGAAAGTAAATAAATAAAAATCATAATAGTTAAAGCTACATGTAAAAGAGTAATGTTAAGTTGTAAGTTTAAAATAATAACGGTTTCTATGAGCCTAATTATATCCAAATTAAATTTCAGAACATTGATTGAACATTTATTGTTTAAGAAAGAATTTTATTTGCTGACTTCTCGAATTGTAGATTGGATTAAATCAATCATTTAACCATACTACATAAAAAGTGCATAGCAAAATTTTAATATTTTTTTGCCCAAAATAATAAAACTCAAAAAATAAAAACATTTTATTTGAATGATCAAATGTAGTCATGGCATTTTTATTATCATCCAAGTTTAACTATTCAATTAAAATCTCTAGTATATATTGTATAAATGTTGTTTAACTATTAGTTAAATAATAAAATAATAATAACAATTACGTATTAATCTTGTTCGAAGAATATAAAAGTCGTCATTAAAAAGGATACATGTGGTTGGGACATTGGTTTTGTTAATCCCCATCCCCGTGGAATGTGCTCGGAGTTTCGTAATTATTTTACGCCTTGAGAAGCAATGGCAGTAGTCAAAAAACCTCTTTCGTAGAGTATTAACAATCTTTCATTATAAACTTCCCAAACACACTGATCCGCTTATCGGCCCATGCATCACCGGTTACCAACGATCGCCGTGATCGGATTTGAAACGAAAACTTCCCAACTCTGAAATCGGAACAAATCATGGACGAATAATTGCAGAGGACGTCTTTCTGCTTCTTCTGTACATCCTATTCCTCCACATTCTATCTTAACAAACCATATTTCACCGCCTCAGTCAGTTTGCCCTGTGCCCTTGTGAAAATAATCTCCTTGCCACTCAAATAAACCGCTTTAGACCTGGTTGTTTTTCCATCAATAGTATATTATATGAACCAGTCTTTTGTAATTAAGTAAATCACAAAACCATCAAACAATGTATTTGAGTACTTATAATACTGATTGATTTCCGTTAAAATTACGTTTGTAATAATACAATTTATGGTATTTATATTTAATTATAAAAATAAGATTATTTTTTAGTTATTATCCATAACAATTATAGTTATAATCATAATAATTATGATGAATTATTGATAAGAATTCCGTGTTATCTAACTGAATTTTTTTTTTTTTTTATTAATTTATTCAATATCGATAAAATTATTATTTTATAAAAAAAAATAGTTCATATAGGAATAATAGTAATAATAGATTTCAAACCAAAAATGAAAATTTCCAAAACAATTATAAATTATAAATATCCTATATTTTCTTATCTTGGTATAAACTATGTTTAGAATATAAAATATAATACAGTTTGATATGTTATATAATATATACCATATGAGTATCAGAAATATTATTCACCAAAGAAACAATAAAAATATTAAATATAAAAATAAATTAAAACCGAAAATGTATTTTATGATACGTAACGAATTCAGGGTTAAAAGTCCATTAAATATAACTAAAATTATAACAAATATAATAATTAATATACCGAAAAATAAAAAAATTAATTCAATCATAATTTATTAAGAATGAACAATACCAAATCATAGTTTAAAACCTAATTCCACATTTATTTTAACAATCCAATTAATCATTAACATCATAAACTCAAATATAATTTTCTATATTAATATTTATAATAGGTATATAATAAATTATTAAAAGAAGAAACTATTTCAAATTCAAAAATAAAAGTAAATAATATTGTAAATGGCATTAACACTAGAAACCAAAGAGTAAACACTATATTCAGAGAACCCAATATTATTTAACTTATAAACAAAATGTTGAATAATAAATATTATGTGCATAATTATATTTTAAATTATCATTTATTTTGATTTCTCGTTAAAACATAAAATAGAGGGTTTAAGTCAAAAACACATGAATATCAGATTAGTGTGCAAATTATATGATACATTTTTTTTATTCGTGTACAAAATTGCTTTATTTTTAACATTTTATCAACTGCAATTTACATAATTTAAATTATACAAAAACTATTGACATTCGAATGTTTATTCAATGTTTGACAATTCAATCGATTGAATAGTTTATTTTGTTTTGCGTTAGCAAAAAAAAAAAAAAAGCAACAGAAAGATGTTTGTTTTCAACTGACAAAGATACTGTTCAGTCGAGGTGTAATCTGAGAAAAAACAATATCGTTGGCAAAGGTGACCTATTGAAGATACAAAAAAACATTTTGACAATAAATGTTTCCCACCAAGTAAAGAATTTTTTATTGCCTCGAATTCTCAAAACATTCGTTGTTTTTATACAATGGTCAGCAATTGAAGAATACTTTACTCGAATCACTGAACGATTTGACCATTTATATAGAGTGTTTCTAAT